GGGCTAGGACTGGGTCGGACCTGGGCTAGGACTGGGTCTGGGGGCTCCCGGAACTCGGCAGAAGATTAATCTTTTCAACAGCACTGAATTTATATCTATCTATCTATATTATACTTTCCACCTCTAAACCCAGGAATTTCAGAAGTTAGGAGAGTACAAAGTTATAAACTTCATATTCATATATGTAACATATATGTAAAAGTAGCTGATTACAGTACAAATATGCTAGTAAAAAAACACTTTTTTTACTATCTATTTAAATGTTACCTTTTGAACTCTATGTCTAATTCATCAATATTGTCAATAGACCAATTTTTTCCATTTTCTTTCATCATTTGAACAATGAGTATTGTTTTATATAATATCATATTTTGGGGTTTAAATTGCACTGAGATATCTATATTTCCATCAGGAGGCAACACAATTCCTGTAACAGACATCAAAATAAGTTAAATGAGTTAAATATTTATTTAAAAACAAAAAAATCATCAGTTCTTTTAGTACCAATGTTTAAAACTTGCTTCTGAACAAAAAGCTACATTATGCTAAAATACAGGTATATGTTACTGTTTTCCCTCCAGGGTCATGGATATCACTAGGAAACACATTTTATCCCAAGGGGAGAAGTGCCTGTTGAAGAAGCTAGACTCAGGAAATATTCCAGGTGATGGCTGGGGTTTTCCAGAATGATGAAGAACCATAAAAATCTATCACACTTTTCAAGAAAGACCATATTTTACAGAGAACATTATTTTGATTCATATGTTTGTGCTACATAATAAGATAAACAATTATATTTATCTTGGGAAATTGGCACATATATTGTGTCATCTTGATCATTTCACTCCCCTTTCCCACCTCCCTCTTCCTTTTCCTCATTCCTTGGATCCCCTTTCCATTTCCAAAGTTTTATTTTTGGTCTTTGATTTATTCTTATGTCTGTTTTCTCTATATTATAACAAGCCCACACTTTGATTGTGGCCCCAAAATTCCTGCGATAAAAGACCCCTCTCCATTTATTTAACTGATCTCTAAGGAAAAACACAATTCATTTGTAAAAGAAAAAAATGACATCTGGTGCTAGTTATGAAAACCAGAAACAGAAAAAGTTAAAGGATTATCTTGTGTTTTGGTAGATTAGAATGTTTTATTTTTGTACCTATGTTGTTTATTTATTCTTTTTTTTCACAAAAAATTGTCAAAGCAATCTTGTACAAGAATGAATGGAAGCATCACATTATGTCACTTTAAAATAGACTACAAATCCATAATAACCAAAACAACGTGGTAATGTCATAAAAATCAGACACACAGCCAAAAGGGATAAACAAAAAATTCAGAAAACTATACATATTTTCATAATTAATATCCACAAAGTTTTCATGAACACAAATGGAAAAAGAAAAATTTCTCCAATAAAGTTGAGAAAACTGGATATCAACATGCAAAATAATGATAATAGATATGACATATCACATATAAAAATTAATTTAAGTGGTTTAAAAGATCAAACTTAAGATCTAAAAGCTGTAGTTCCAATAAGCACTTTTTTGAACACAATGTCAAAATTATGTGCAGCAAAACAAAAAAATGAGAATACATAAAACTAAAAGTCTTCTACATAGCAAATGAAATAATAGCTTAGAGGCAACTCAGAGAATGGCAGAAAGTATTTGTAAATTCTGCTTTGGGTAAGAGGCTACTATTCAATTTTTTTTTTTCAAATCATATCGGAAGTACAGTTTCAACAAATAATACACTGCATATATTCTTCTTAATGGTTAATTGCTGTACAAGATGCGGACTTGTGATCCTATTTACAAACACCATTAGAACAAATCATTCTATTCATTAAGAG